TTAACTTAGAGTGTAAGGATAAGTAAGTATAATATGGTATGTATAACTGTTGTTGTGTGTTTTATCCAGGTTGTTTTTTGGTGAAAAGCACGTTAGCTTTCCCCCTACAAAACAACTTATAAAGAGGGGAGGTGTTACATACAGCACTGATGTTACCTGTCTGTCATGGGTTTGGAGGGAAAGTTCCATCCTATGGGGAGTGGAAGGCGGGACATCAGGAGGAGGGGCTGTACTGTATAAATATGTGATGCCTGTGTGGTGAGAGAGACACTGAGAGACACTGGGTTGTGACGAAGCAGCAGCTGGGAAGAAGAAGCTGTTGTGGGAGTCTGTGTGTCAGACAGGGTACTTCTGTGTGTCAGAGTACCAACCTGATAGGTTCAGGTGTCTGTTGGTTAGCCAGAACTGATAGGTTCAGGGTCTGTGCTTTAAGTTAAGGGTTCTGTGTGAACCAAACTGTATGCATGTGTGATTGAGAATAAGCCACGTTACTTTATCTTATTCACCTGATTGTTTTATTTTTTCCTGTGTGTATTTAAATAAACCTTATTCTTTTTATTGTTTAAAAATCCATCCCTGGTCTGTGTGACTTCTTAAAGGGAATGGTTGGTGGCAGCTTAGTGTAACTGTGTGACATATCCCAGTAGGTCTGGGTTTGTCACAGGAGGGAGTTCCAGAGTCTAGAGGAGGAGCCACCGAGAAGGCCCTCTCCTGTGTCTGCACCAAGCATGCTTCGGAGGGTGGTGGGAGTGAGAGAGAAGACCTGCTTATATATTTTTGTGCCGTTTCCACCAATGCAACCCTGAAACTATGAACGTCTGCTGTTGTTGTGACGTGCCGTCCAGTTGCCTCCGAGTTGTGGTGACTCTGTGATTGAACCTTCTCCAGAACACCTCATCCTCAGCTGCCCTGCTCAGCTCTTGTTGACTCAATCCTGTGGCTTCCTTGAGGGAGTGGATCCATCTCATATTTGGGTCTTCCTCTTTTCCTGCTGCCTTCCGCTTTTCCCAGCCTTATTGTCTTTCCCAGAGAACCCTTTGCCTTCTCATGATGTGCCCAAAGGAGGACAGCCTCAGTTCCAACAGTTTGGCCTCCAGAGAGGGTTCAGGGTTGAGTTAGTCAAGGACCCACTTGTGTGTCTTTCTGGCAGTCCTAGGTATCCCTAAAGCTCTCCACCAGCAACATATTTCAAATGAATCAATTCCCCCCCCCCCGGTTAGCTTTCTTAATTGCCCAGCTTTCACACCCATCCATAGTGTCTGGAAACACAAGGATGTGGATGATCTTGGTCTTCAGTGACACATCCCTGCACTTGGTGATCTTTCCTAGTTCCTTCAATACCACTCTTCTGAGTCCCAGCCTTCTGATTTCTTGGCTGCACTCTTCATTTAGATGGATGTTCGAGCCGAGGGATATAAAATCTCTCATTTCAATTTCTTGCGGGCAAAGTTGCAGCTTTTTCCGTAGCTGCTGCGGCAAGAAGCCCTCCTCTTTGAGCCCACCCTGCCATCTCAACAGAGGTTGCCTTGTCTGGCCCACCATTCCTGTCTCAGCCGGTGTAGTTCTCCAGATCTGCTCCTTGACCCTCTTCTTCTTCTTCTTCCTCCTCCTCTCCAGGTTGACCGGGAACGAACCCTTGACCATCCTCCCTCTGACTTCAGAAATGGAGGAGGCTGCCGTCAAAGCCCATTATAAAGTCTGCGACCGCCTGAAGCTAGAGAAGAAGCAGCGAAGGATGTGCCGGAGGGATCCTGGTGTGGCCGAGACCCTTATGGAGGCCATCAGCATGAGTGCCCTGGAATGTCAGTACCAGTTTCGATTTGAGCGGTGGAACTGCACCTTGGAGGGGCGCTACCGGGCCAGCCTGCTCAAGAGAGGTGAGCCGGGGGAAGGCATGGGGGCTATTAAACCGGGCATGGGGGACCTTGGAGGGTCCTTCATCCTCTTAGCAACAGAGTTGGGAAAAGGTGCTTTGTGGAAGCCCCTCCACCACCACTAGCATGGCCACCAAAAGAATCAGATGGTGATTTTGGACGAATTCAGAGGGCTGCACTAGGCAGGGAATCTTTTATTCATCATGGAGGAACATGCTGGGTTGACCTAAGAGGGTTGACCTACATCCTTTGTGGGCCAACATTGGAAGTTTCTCCCTATAACAAGCCAAGGAACGCTACCTTTGGGGTTAAAGTTGAAGCTTATAGGGCTGGATTGGACTCTGAGGGTTCTGAGACGTTCCTTGTTTCCAGCTGGGAGCCAATAGATGTGTGGAATCGAAAAGAGTTCGGATGGATAGCTCAGGAGCTGCTGGATAGTTCAGGGGTTGAACATCTGACTGCGAAGCCGGAGGTTGGGAGTTCGATCCTCCACTGGGCCGCCTTGACAGCGGCTGGACTCAATGATCCAGAGGGCCCCTTCCACCTCTGCTAGATCAGAGTTTCTTCTTTATGGTCTCTGTGCGTGTCAGAACTTTCTAGAGCTTCTGCTTGGTATCAGGAACCTCCCCTCCGTGCCTTTCAAACACCACGAGGACCTCAGAGGTGGGACGTTAGCTTGAGAGCGCTCCTCCTACTCACCCAATTCTGGGATATCCACTTGGGCAGGGCTCCTACTCAGGCCTTGCAGAACCCAGTTTTTGTTTATAGATTCATGTCCACAGTGAGCCAGCCAAGAGTGGAAAAAGAGAAATCGTCTGAACCAATGTTTTGAGGAACTGTGAGAGATCCTGATGTGAGAGCAAGGTCAGCACGGAAAAAAAACAGGGTTCTGCAGAGAAATGCAGATCATTGGCATGATTCCACACCACTGGATCCCGATTTTGGGTCCCCAGATGTTCTTGGGCCAGAACTCCCAGAAGCCTTCACCATGAGCTGTGCCGGCCAGGATTTCTGGGAGTTGTAGTCCAAGAACATCTGGGGACCCAAGGTTGGGAATCGCTAATTAATCTCCCAAGCGTGCTTCTCTTTCATGCTCCTGAAGAATCAACTTCCTTCCTTTCCTTCTTTCTTTCCTTCTTTCCTTCCATACCACCCCGTTAGTGAAATACATTACTTGGCCGGTTTACAGTCATCTTGAACTCCCCCCCTGGACTGCCCTACCCTGCCCTGATACATATACTGTATATACTCGAGTATAAGCCTAGTTTTTCAGCACAATTTTTTTTGCTGAAAAAGCACCCCCCTCGGCTTATACTTGAGTCAGTGTCAAAATTACGTGTTCTCCCCCACAGGGTGGGTCTTCTCCGGACTCCCCCGCTCATCTATGGGCGCCTGCAGCTTCTGTGGGTGGTCTGATGCCCCAGGTTAATCACACTGCATTTCCGCTTCCAGGACACTCCCATCCTCATCCTTCTGCATATTTTATGTACCCACCTTTCACGAATCTCCACTTCGGGACTTGAATCGGAGCTGGGGGGGGGTAGAGAGACTAGAGACAGCTCACCATGTCCTGCAGGCATAAAGGGATGAGAGGGAGATGCACCTCAGGCAGTGAAGTGTGTCTCGCAGCTCAGAAGGGCAGTATCTTCAAAAACATTTAACCTACTGATGCCTCGATTAATGTAATTTTATTGGTATCTATCTTTATTTTTGAAATTTACCAGTAGCTGCTGCATTTTCCACCCTCGGCTTATACTTGAGTCAATAGGTTTTCCCAGTGTTTTGTGGTAAAATTGGGTGCCTCGGCTTATATTCGGGTCAGCTTATACTCGAGTATATATAGTAAGTAAAAATAAAACTCAAAATGACAGTCAGTCAACACGTCAGGAGGTAGAAAGAGCAGAATAAACTCCAGCGTGGGGCATGTAAATGTGCAGAGTAGCAAAACACACCTCCAACAGGGTTTCCCCAAAAGGCGTCTCTATAAAGCCATGTTGACAAACGTGGGAGGGCTCCAGGTGCCACGGATTCCAAAGCGTTGGGGCCGCTGCAAAAAAGGACCTGCTTTGGGTTGATGATTACTTGGCCTTCCCTTTGAGTGGCTCACCTGGAGGGTCAGTGGCCCCGGGAGGGACCTCGTGGGGCAGGTGGAGGAAAAAGATGCTCCGGCAACAGGTCATGGGGTCCCGGATTGTGAAGGGCAAGAACCGGTCTATGCGGGCAGCCGAGTTCCCCCCACCCCGTATCTTACGGTCACCTTGCGTTGTCCTTGCGGCCCACAGGATTTAAGGAGACCGCCTTCCTTTATGCCATCTCTTCAGCGGGGCTCACCCACGCCATGGCGAAGGCCTGCAGCGCCGGGCGCATGGAGCGCTGCACCTGCGACGAGGCACCCGACCTGGAGAACCGCGAGGCCTGGCAGTGGGGCGGCTGCGGCGACAACCTCAAGTACAGCAACAAGTTTGTCAAGGAGTTCTTGGGCAAGAAGTCCAACAAGGACCTGCGCGCCCGGGTGGACTTCCACAACAACCTGGTGGGCATGAAGGTGAGCGTGCCAGGCGGCGGCGGCGGCGGAGGGGGGGCGGGGATCCTGTGTGAAGGGGTTGGCTTGAAGCCAAGGAGGAAGAACCCCCCCCCCATCCTCTGCCTTGCAATTGGGGGCAAAGGAAAGAAAATTTGAGATGGGGGGGAAAAACCACACATTTTTAAAATTAAAGCTCCTAGAACTTCTTCAGTGCTTGAGCTCTCTGGCTGCAGAAGCCAGAGGTCGTGTGTTCGATTCCCCCCCACGGGGCCTCCTTGATTAGGGCTGAACGGGATGATCTGTCGGGTCCCTTCCAGCCCTGCCGTTCTAAGATGATGGTGATGATGATCCTTAATGAACTGCTGGTTTGGATATTGGGCTGCAGAAGCCAGAGGTTGGGAGTTCGATTCCCCCCCCCACACACACACACACACACTGGACCTCTTTGATAAGGGCTGGACTGGATGATCCTCAGGGTCCCTTCCAGCCTCTGCTGTTCGAAGATGATGATTATGGAAGTGCTGGATCGTTCAGTGGGTTTAGGCCTCTGGCTGCAGATCCAGAGTTTGGGAGTTTGATTTCCCCACTGGGCTCCCTTGACAGGCAGCTGGGTTTGATGATTCTCAGCATCCTTTCTAGCTAGGATGATGATGATGAGATAGATGGTGATGACAAGGATGAGGCAGTAGGACTGCTGTCCATGCTGGTTGGTGACACTCTGAGATTTGTCATCGGGGGGCGGGGGAATCCTGGTTCAGAGTTTTCCCCTTATGAAAGGACCCAGATGAGAGGGGAAAAGAGAAAGGGGGGAGGAGAACAAAATTGTGCTTTTTATATACCCCCTCCCCATAGTGCTTAAACCACTCTATGGGGGGGGGTTACAATTAATTATGGAGGCTACACATAAGCAGTGCAACAGGGGGTGGCACGGGGAAAAGACAGAAACGATGGGACTGCCAGAATTTTATTAGGGATGAAGTCAAGCCTTATTGGTCAGTGCAGAATAAAAGACAGGGCGATCCTTGCTCCCTCGGGATTGTGATCTGGAAAGACAAAACAAAAGGAAAGGGAGTGCGGAGGGAAGAGGAGAACAAGCACAGAAATGTTATGTGCTCTTACTTCAGTTAGGAGGGCCGTTAAGGAAGAGCAGAAGCTGGCGACCCTGGTTTCCCGGTGGAGCTTTCCTGCTCTGCTTCTCTTGGGGCTGGGCGGAGGCAGATGGGAATTGTAGTCCGACCTGTCCCCGTGGAAGGCGGTGGCTGCAGGGCAGTGTCTTTTTCTCTCCCAGCGTCGGCTCGGGTGTGGAAGGGCCGCGGCGAGGAGATGGCTGGAAAAAGCTGGCGGCAGCCACCGGGATTAGGTTTCAGCGAAAACAAAGAGGGCTTGCAATGGGGCGAACGCGGACCGGCCGGGGAGGGGAGCCTTATCAAGATAAGCTGATGCTAATAAGATTTAGGCTGGAGCAGAGAGGCATGCGAAGCCAGCCGGCGGCTTCGCGGGAGTGTCCCCAGGGCAGGGGGGGTCCCCAGACGTTTGGTGGGGGTCCTGGAGGTGAATGGACTTCGGTTCTTCGAGCAGAGCCGACAGCCAGGGTTTCTAGGTTCTGCACCCCGGGTTTCGGGCCCAGGTTTAAGAATCTCTGCTCCAGGAGGTTGGCCTCGGGCTGTGAACATATCGGCGCCTGCTTGCCTCTGCCGAGAGGTGGGGAAAAGAAGCCCTCTGTGCATGCACAAGTGTGGTGTTCGTCGGCCGCCGGATCTGCCTGTTCCTGCAGAGCTGAGAAGCCGTCCTGGATGATGCTGGAGGGGAATCACCTCCCTGTCTCTCTTTCACCTGCTAGAAACCCGGGACCGGACATGAGTGGTCTTCTTTTCCTTGTATCTTTCCAACAGCCCCCCTGCGGTCCTCTCGGTGGAGAGACGGACGGAGCCAGTGGCTTCACGACAACGCGGGAATCTGAACCCAGATCTCCTCTTTTCTACTTGAGCATAGCCCCGTCCCATCATTAAATTTTGTTTAGGCATGGACGGAACTGCCAAAGAAGCTGTTCTGCCTTTTGTTTTAGGGGACACACTATCGGGAAGGTGCCTTACACCGCATAAGATGCTTGGTCTGTTTAGCTCAGTATTGACAGCCCTGACTGGCAGTGGTCGCTCTTCAGGTGGTAGACAGAATTCCTTCTCAGCCCTACCTGGCGAGATTCCCAGCTTAGCTTCTGAAATTGAGTGTGAACAGATTCGTTATCTTGAAACTCTGTTCTTCGTTATCATCATCTTAGAGCTGCAAGGGACCCTTACGGATCACCATCAAGTCCAGCCCTTATTGAGGACGCCCTGTGGGGAATCGAACTCCCAACTCTGCAGCCAGAGACCTCAACCACGGAGCTATCCAGTCTGATCCCAGGCCATGGGGAGAGGTCATCTCTTCCACGTCCCTGTGGCTACCGTCTTGGGGTAGCCCGGTTTGGCCCATCAGCCTCTTAGCCCACTTACATAGCAGACTGGCAGCGCCCTGTGGTCCCTCATGTGTTAACTCTTTAAGAGTCTCTAGCACCACCCACAACGCCTAGCGGGGTGGAGTGGGTAGTGCCACACGGACTAGAGCCCATGAGGTCTGCGTTCCGATCCCGCTCAGCCTTAGAGACTCCCTGAGAGGTGTGTGGGGTGGCGCTGGTCAAACCGCTCCATAAATATCTCATGGGTCTTGAAAGCCCGAGTAGAGTCAACGTAAGTCCATGTTGACTCAGCGGCCCATAAGCAACAAGCTCTACCCCCAAGAACCCTGGCTATTGCCATTTGAGGGTATTGTCAATTCTCAAGGGTGGATGATTAAACCCTGCACTCCCCAGTTATGCTCCTATAGCCGTCATGCTCAAACCTACATGCCAGGAGGCCATTTCTGAAGATGCATTCTCCAAATGCACGGTGGTCTCTCAGCGGTATGGAATGCAGTTTTTCCATTACACATACAAATGCTTCTGATCCTAATGAGTCTCCGGAGGCTCGGTAGACGGGTTTAGACCCCCGGCCCTAGGAGCCGGCAGCCTTGCGCTTCCTGGTTAGGTGGGACCACGTCTTCTCCCTCAGAGCCTTGCTGGAAACATCACGTTTGCTTCTTAGGTGATGGGAGCACCTCGAAGGCCCAAGGTGAACGTCTTTCCTGCCCAAATTTTAAAAAAGAAATCTATTGAGAGAAGCTCTCCAGTGGCCCTTTCCCCCTCCCTCCTTTCCTCACCCTCTCTGGATCAGCTGTGTAGATTTCATGGCGTTTCATAGCTCGCTAAGTGCTTATGATATGAGCTCAACGCCAGCGACAAGGCTCGCTTGTCTGGCACGAGAGATGAGGTCATTAGCTGGGAGGACGTCTCGATGTTCCTTCTCTCTTCATGTTGGGTGGAAGGCTGTGGAATAGGCAGCCTCTCAATCGCTCTCGCTCTCTCGCTTTTTAAGTTACACAAATTGGGTGGAATGGCTCCTAACTTGGAAGACAGGAACCAAGCTCAAAATGATCTTGATAGGCTGGAGCACGGGACTGAAAACCACAGAATGAAATTGAACAGGGCTAAGTGCAAAGTTCTACACCTAGAAAACACAAACACACACACAAAAATTGCACAGTAACAAGGTGGGGGATACTTGGCTCAGTAATACTACCAGTGAGAAGGATTTTGGAATTGTTGTAGATCAGAGGCTGAATATGAGCCAATAGTGCCATGTGACTGCAAAAAAGGCCAGTGCAGTTTTAAGTGGGGTTAACAGAAGTATAGTCTCCAAATCCTGTGAGGTACTGGCCTTCCCTCTGTTTGGCGCTGGTTAGCCCTCGTCTTCAGTACTTTGTCCAGTTCTGGACACGGCACTTTAAGAAGGATGCCAGCAAACGAGCAAGTTCAGAAGAGGTCAACAAGGATGATGATCAGGGGACTGGAAAGGAAGCCCTAGGAGGAAAGACTGACAGAGCTGGGCATGTTTAGCCTTGAGAAATGAAGACTGAGCAGAGATAGGAGAGCACTTTTCAAAGACTTGAAAGGCTGTCCTACAGAGGAGGGGCAGGATCTGTTCTCCATCATCCCAGAGTGCAGGACATGCAACAATGGGCTCAAGCGACAGAAAGCCAGATTAAGGCTGAATACCAGGAAAAATCTGTTAACTGTAAGAGCAGTACGACAACGGAACCCATGACCTCAAGGGGAGGGGGTGAGCGCTCCCAACTCTGGAGGCCTTCAAGAGAAAATGGGACCGCCATCCGTCAGATCTGCTTTGATTTGGATTCCTGCCTTGACCAGGGGGTTGGACTTGATGGCCTTCGAGGCCCTTTGTAACTCCATGATTCTATGAGCACAAGACTGTTTGTACACTGAATGCTACACTGGACACTCATCACCAGATCTTAGTAAAGATGCTTTCCTGGACAACAAATTCCAGAATCCCCCAGCCGTGTAGGGGATTTTGAGAACGGTGGTCCCGCCCCGCCCACCCGCCTGTTATTGTTTCCCTAGCTCTGTCCTTCAAGGATCTTAAATGGAGTGGCCGGATTCTAATAGGATTATGGCCGCTCTTGTCTTCTGCAGACGGGACTCTTTCTCCTTCTCCAAATTCTTCCTGCTTGAGAGGGAGCCCTCTTTTTGTATTTCATTAATGAAAAGTCAAGAGTATTAGCACACTTGATTTATTCCCCCAGGCCCGAGTTAACGGGTGTTTTAATTAAATTCCCACCCACTTCTTGCTTGAGTTTCTTTAAGTATCATTAAACATGACTTTCTGAAGCGCGCACTCTCTCTCTCTCTGTGGAGCGTTGCTAAGTTCCTTAATCCCCCAAAGAGCCGACCCCCTTCTCTTTCTTTCCCCTTTTCGAGATATGTCTGGTCAAGCCTGTTTTACAAGGCGGAGAAGTGCCGTGAAAGGGAGAGGTGGTTGCCTGGAATTGGATCACATCCCCGGTTGGCATCCTCCGTTCCAGCATTCATGTTGGGCTTTTGGCTGAAGGGGAGCCTGGCATGGATGTAGGCTGGCACACCGTTGTTGGGCTGGGAGAATGAGAACAATTCTATCTGCCCTGGATTTCTGATAAATGGGGAAAGGGAGGGGGCATGGCTGGCTCGCTTTCTTGCTTGCTTGCTCGCTTGCTTGTTTGCTTACTTGCTTACTCACTTACTTGCTTGCTTACTTGCTTTGTTGTTTAGTCGTTCAGTTGTGTCCGACTCTTCGTGACCCAACGGACCAGAGCACGCCAGGCCCTCCTGTCTTCCACTGCCTCCCAGAGTTGGGTCCAAATTCATGTTGGTCGCTTCGGTGACCATGTCTAGCCATCTCATCCTCTGTCGTCCCCTTCTCTTCTTGCCTTCACTCTTTCCCAACATCAGGGTCTTTTCCAGAGAGTCTTCTCTTCTCACGAGGTGGCCAAAGTATTGGAGCCTCGGCTTCAGGATCTGTCCTTCCAGGGAGCGCTCAGGGTTGATTTCCTTCAGAACGGATAGGTTTGTTCTCCTTGCAGCCCCGGGGACTCTCAAGTGCCTCCTCCAGCACCACTTGTTTACTTGCATGCTTCCTTGTTCCTTCCTTGCTTGCTTAAACCTACCGCCCAGCCAAAGTCCACTCTGAGCAGTTTACAACATACATAAACAGGACAATTAAAGTACGATTGAATGGAACCGGAACAGAAAAATGATAAAAATGCAAATAAACCGTACAGTCAAAACATAGAAACATTTGCATAAAACATTTAGGACATTTAAAATGGCAGACTTGATCAGGTAGGTTAGCTGAACTCTGCTTGAAGCCGCAGGTGCAACATTATGAAGTGCTGGCCTAAATGACCAAGTTTTGAAGTGATTAAAAAAAAATTACCAGCAAAGGAGGCAGATGAATTGCGATGGGGAGTTTGTTCCACAGCTGAGGAGCGACCGGCCGTGAAGGCCCAGTTTCTTGTCTGCTCCCTCTGGGCTTCTTAGAATTGTCAGCCAGCCTGCTTGAGATGTTCTTGTCGGATGAGAAGATCCTGTTGGAAACAGGTGTTCTGCTAGGTATTGAGGCCCCAAACCGTTTAGGGCTTTATAGGCTTATTTGTATGTGTGTATAAGATGCCTGGCGTGCTCTGGTCCAGGGGGTCACGAAGAGTCAGACACGACTTGACGACTAAACAACAACATAAAATGCCAAGTTCAAGCCGAGCTTCTCAAGACAGAACTGCCTCTTGTCTCTGAAAACCTGGAGAACTAAGAGGTGTGTGCTGTTTTGTGCTTTTTAGGGGCACAAAACTTGCAGGTGTGTAGGTTTGTGTTTTGCCGGCTGCAGTTCCCATACGTCTTGGGTGGGGGGTTCTGGGGCTTGTCATCTGAAATACACACAAGGGCGTGCTCCCCTTCATAACTAATATCAGCCTGCGGTTCCTAGGCTTGAGTTTGTAAATGTGATCGAATGACAGCTTTCAGAATCTGGCAACCCTCGGCCATGCTGGCCACGGATGCTGGGGGATGAGGTCCAGCCATTTCTGAAGATCCAAGTCTTCCAGAAGCATTGATCCAGAGATGACACAAGGCATGAAAGCCGGACGTCAGGACGCTGTTTCTCCCTGGTGGAGTATAAGGATCTGCTTGTGGACCTCGGTGTGATCTCCAGCTAACCCCGGCTCAATCTGGAGAAGGCTGAGTTGTGCGGTTAGGGGCGTATGCTTGTACGAGGCTTTGTGCCTTGTGTGATCTTGGGAAAAAGTTGTACCGCTTGCAGAATATGGGCTGGAGGGTGAGCGGAGTGAGACAGAGATTCATCCTGGAAGAGTCAGCATACATGGTTACAGTGATTTCTGAGTATGGTCTACCTAGAAATTCATATGCCGTTATTATCATTACTGTTATTATTGTCACATGAAGGATGGAACAAACTTGTTTTCTGCATCTCCAGAAGTTAGGGTGTAAAGGATTCTGATGGCAAGAAAGGAGATTTTGACTGAACTTTAGGAAGAACTTCTTGATGGCAAGAGCTGTTTGACATGTGGGTCAAGTGCCTCAAAGGATGGTGAGGCCAGGCAGGTGGAAAGACTGTTAAGACAGTGGCTGCTGTGGGTTTTTCGGGCTCTTAGGCCGTGTTCTGAAGGTTGTTCTTCCTAATGTTTCACCAGTTTCTGTGGCCGGCATCTTCAGAGGACAGGAGTAGCACTCTGTGCTCTGCTGCAGTTTGTTTGGGAGTTGAGTATTTATAGCTGTTGGATCAGCTTTGTCCTTTTCAGGAGATTGGGTAATTAGGGTGATCAGTGTATTTTTGTTGTGGGTGTATTGTTGTGATCATGGGGTGGGATTGTAAGACTGTGTTTTGGAGCAGGCACCTTTTCCCTCACTAGCTTTGCTTCCCTCTTCACAGGTCATCAAAGCCGGTGTGGAGACCACGTGCAAGTGCCACGGAGTTTCAGGCTCTTGCACCGTCCGGACGTGCTGGCGGCAGCTGTCTCCCTTCCACGAGATCGGCAAGCAGCTGAAGCAGAAATACGAGACGGCGCTCAAAGTGGGCAGCACCACCAACGAGGCCACGGGCGAGGGGGACATCTCCCCGCCCAAGAAATCCATCGCAGGCCACGGAGATCAGATCCCAAGGACTACAGACCTGGTGTACATTGACGATTCTCCGAGCTTTTGCCTGGTGAGCCGGTTTTCTCCTGGCACGTCGGGCCGGAAGTGTTACAAGGACAAGAACTGCGAGAGTATTTGCTGCGGGCGGGGGCACAACACCCAGAGCCGGGTGGTGACCCGACCTTGCCAGTGTCAAGTCCGCTGGTGCTGCTACGTGGAGTGTAAACAGTGTACGCAGAGAGAGGAAGTCTATACGTGCAAAGACGTATAGAAGCTTGGACGGGCACGAAGAATGCTCAAGAGGGTATCCCTTAACGACGAGGGGGTGATGCCATCCTATGACCAGCACCCAGAGAGGCGAAACAGGGTTTGAGAGATCCCCGTGGAGATGGCACACTCTGCCGAGAAGATATGGAAGCACTTTGTAGGGTCCCGGTGACCCAGCTGTATGGGTTTCTCCTTGACTCTCTCTGCCCTTCTTTGCCAACCCAACCGATTTTGGAGGTCCAGGTGGGCCAGTTCCAATTTTGGGCAGGGTGAGTGATTTCCAAAGTGGGCAGTGAAACGCTTGGCCTTAACCAAGACGGTTCTCATCTTGCTCACTGCCGTCCTTGACCTAGAGAAAGCCATTTTCCTTTGGCATTGAACCTCGTGGCCTATGGTCCGTGGCCACCTTGAGAACTGCAGTAGAATTCCGGAAGCGAATGTGACCAGAAGAGAGAGAGAGAGAGATTATCCCCCAAAAAGGATAGTATTCCGTGCTGGTGGATGGCTAGTTGGAGCTCTCTGGAGCTCTTGAGGATGGAGAAGTGAAGCCTGGTTGGTCGGAGCTCCCTGTTTGCAAAAGTGTCCTATCTGTTGTGGTTCCTCAAGAGGAACATCTGCTTTCAGCTGCTTGCACTTTGTAACAGATGTTATGGGAGGGCCTTCTAGAGTGGTCGGTCCAACCTGCCCGCTTTAGTCCTCTCCCATCGCAATCTACTCCTGCGTTTGCCGCCTTCATCAACTAACTTTGCGAACAATGAAAACCACTAGAAGCCTTTTAAGATTTCCTACAGATGCTGCCACCACCACCTCCAAATAATTTCCAAAGCATGGCACCTCTTCTTGCTCCAGATGCACCCTGTGGAGGCTGCTTTCTATCCCAGTATTCAACGTTGCTCCCAGTTCCTGGAGCCGCTGTTGGACGAGTCCCTTTCTGGACCGGACGAAACCAGTTGCCTTACGGACAATCGACGCTGCTTTGACTTGCCTTGAATTGTAAGCCATCCTGGATTTGATAGGACATATCCCCTCAAATTTTACCCCTGTTCGGATGTCACACAGTTTCTTCTCAACGGTGGCGCGAACTGGCACGAATCTTCACAACAGACCTTTCATTTTCTTTAAAACCACTAGAGGCACTGGCATTTGGAAATTCAGCAATGCAGGTATTCGAATCAAAAGTTCATAAAGACTGAGGAGGAATGGAGGGACCGGAGACGACCACGGTAACCGTAAAGGGGGAAGCGCTGGTGATACGGGGTACTCGACAACCTTCCGTTGCCGTACATTGGGATATTACAACTTTGCAACTTGGCTTTCCTTCAACAACACTGCTTGAATCAGAAGTGACCGACTGGCTAATCTCTCGGTTGAAAGTTAGCTGTGTAAGATGCAATAAGAGCAGTGGGCACCTTCTGATGTTCTGGTAGTAGCAATTTCTCTCGTTTAACCCGTCGACCTGATTTTCGGGGAAAGCTGGGCACGAGACTTCTGCATGGTTTCCACTGGTTTCTCTGGGGCTGTTTCAATCTGCCTGAGGACGAATCTGGTTTTGGGAATTCCTTCCAAATCATAATAATAGTAATTAAAAATTAGCCGCTCATCTTCTGCGGTGTTTTTTCTGCCTCAACTGGAAGGGGATGGGCATGGCCAGCTTAATGGGTGGTTTGCCCTTAGGGGGGGTGACCGAAAGGCATAATTTTCCCCTTGTTTGAGCCCAGATCCTGCAAAAGTGGAAGGTTGGCGCTCTTGCACATCTCTCTTGAGACCATTCCCCAACCGGTGTAAAATAGAATGCCACCAATTCCAATCTTCATGGTCTTGGTGGCTTGTGGTGGCCATCGTACATTATGGAAACTGTTCACCTGGTCCATCTTGGCCTTCAACGCCAGACGGGGCCTCTCCTGAAGCCACGTGGAAATGATTTTTGTTCTGTAAGACAAGCAAAACTAAACATGTAAGACTGAACAGAAGCATATTATTCAGTGTGGATATAGCTATATCTATCTATCTATATATATATGCACCTAAATATAAATATTGAACATTTATTTATTTTATTAAGCCTATCAGAAGGACCTTCTTATGGTTTCAATGTGGTATTATGTTCAGTCCTCTCTGGAGACGGTGCACACTCTCGCCTCCTTTTTTTTTTTTTTTTTTTTTTTTGGCGTATGCAAGGACCATGTTCCCAAAAGTGTGGGTCCACCTGTATCAGCGGTGTTAGGCTTGACTCTGGAATTGTGTATGGCACATTTTCCAGGATGTTTTTCAGTGGCACATGGGGCTTCCCTCATCCCATCTCACTGTAAGAACCAGTTCCAATTAGTACTATAAAAACTACTGCCGTTCTTTCTATCTGTTTGTGTGTGCCCAAAGTTAGTTCTGGGTCCCTTTCTTCAACCCAACATCTTTTGATTTTGCTATCAGCCTGAACTCTGTACAGTGGTGCCTCACAAGATAATGTTAATTTGTTCCGCGAAAAACGCTGTCTTGCGAAAACATCATCTTGCGAAACGCGGTTCCCCATTGGAATGCATTGAAATCTATTTAATGTGTTCCAGTGGAAAAATCATCGTCTTGCGAAAATTGTCCATAGAAAACATCGTCTTGTGGAACGCGGTTCCCCATTGGAATGCATTGAAATCTATTTAGTGTGTTCCAATGGGGAAAAATCATCGTCTTGCGAAAATCGTCCATAGAAAACATCGTCTTGCAAAGCACAACAGCAATCGCAAAAACCAATCGTCTTGCGGATTAATCGTCCCGCGAGGCAATCGTCTTGCGAGGCACCACTGTATTTTCGATGAAAGCTGTTTAGGGTTATTTGCACTGCTTTTTTTTTACAAGTGGTCTGATTCCACTTTAACGACAGGATCCCCAGGATCTGTAGTTTGGTGAGGGGGACTTAGCATCCTCTGCTAGGCAGCTGTGTGCCTTTCATAAATACCTGCCAAGAGTACAGATGTAAAGCCTTCTCATAAATGGAAAAGTGTACCCTTGGCCCAGTGTAGCACTTGTAGAACCACAGCAGCTGAAGGACCACGTAGTTCCCACCCTTGTTTTAGAGCAAAGAAGTCATTCTTGCCAGCGCTGGCACCACCACAGAAGTGAGACGGTTTCACACCTGCTAGCAGATGTTTGGGTATATTTAAAGGATAGCACAATGACTTCTATACCTTCTTAGAGTGCAGTGCATTCAGTTCAGTGGGGATTGATAAAGTCAAGTGAGCACGCATAGGAAGGCAGCCTTAATTAACGTTTCATACACCTCCCACTGGACGGGCCTGGGTGTTCCACTTTTAGCACCCAAAATATTATGAGCGCATTCTAAAACCATTCATACAACCCTCTTTGGTCAGTGTGGATTTCCTCTGATAAAACTCAGACTAAAGTCTTCTGAATTGTTGCGGGGTCGAAAGGGCTGTGCTTTGAAAGTCCAAGCATTGGGAGAACAGAAGAATTTCAGGTGTTCAGCACTTTTGGGAACATTGGTACCAGAGACGCACGGTTCATGTACGCATTTGATGGCTGAAATCCTGTTGCACAGCGCCAGAGTGGGGAGCCCTCACGCCAGTGCTGGCATGTGCGTGGACAAAGCAGCTGTGGGGAAGGGAGTGTGTGCAGGGGGGAAGTCTGTCTCCGCGGCCTGTTCCAGCTCAGGCCATGGACTGGCACTGGGCCGCGGACCGGGGGTTGACGACCTCTGGCCCGGAGCGCACATGGTTGTCGCACAATGAGACAAAGTTGCGTGCACACCCAAATTGAAAATAGAAGTCTCTAATCGGTGGCAGTTAGCTGCTGCTGACATCATTTCCATTATGCAGGCGGACGGCAGGCAATAGGATTTCAGCCATTGCATTCAAGAGCTGCATGTAGCTGTGGAGGTGGAGGAGGGAGGGGGAAAAACGAATGGGTAGCATCTCTTGTAGGCCAGCCCCTCTGCCCGTTTGCTCAGAAGTTTGTCCCACTGATTTCAGGAGGACCTCTGTGAGCGTGCATAGGATCGGGGCCTTTTAAGTTGAGAGGCGAAGGAGTGAACGAACTACTGAGTGGGAAAAGCTCTTCTTTGTATAATAATTCATGCCCTGAAGCCAGGGCGTTTCTGTAAGTATTTAAAGCTGTATTTATGTTAATGCAAATATTATTGCTTTCTTTGTTATATATTGTAAATAGTAAGGTTTATTCTCCTGTGGGTTTTTTTTTTTTTAAAGTTATAAATAGTACCGAGGCACATGCATTCACTGTATAGGCAGGTGAAATACACCTATGATTAAGTTAATCCCCTTTTGAACAATTGGGAGAACGCTGTGGCTCTTGTCAACCTGAGGTCATCAGACTAGTTACTGAAGTGGGAAAGAAGGGCGAGCTGGGCGCCATTTTGAATGGTGGGGGGGGAAAGAAGATTGGTGTGGATTCAAGGGGTGAAACCTCATTCGATCCAAAGAGAACCTAAATGGAGTTCAGTCTGCCTTTTGCCTGACCCCACGGTGGGGCCCTCGGGGTGTTTTTGAACCATGACCCCCTCATCTATGGAGACTTAAAGCTAATGGCCTTTGCTGGCTAGCAGGCTGTTTGCCATCCCGTCCTGTTTCAGAAGTCTCTGTGGCCTCCAGAATGAAGGTTTAGTATTTGGCAAAGGTGGGAGTGCAAAGCCTTCTAGATTCTGCTCCGTGAACCACAATAGGATCCGGGCCGTGGTTTCTTGGGATCATGGCCGTGGGCTGCGAGAGAGGAAGGGGAACCCGATAATCAGAAAGTCTGAGGACCAGCAGAGGTTACGTAGGCTGTATCACCTGTTTCGCTTGTTGCTTTCACCTTCGAGACTGCTTCAGATATTGTCTTCAGCAAATATTCGTAATATACCTTAAAACGGTCTCTTGGAGAAGGAAAAATGAAGGAGTAGCAACAAAACCCAAACCAGAGAGGCCGTCTGGAAAGAGGTGTGGGCGCTGGCATGCTATATGCACCAAGCCGGTAGCTTAAGGGCCAAGGTATTTCCAAAATCAAGATAGAACATGGACCCTACTGAAGTTGCCAGAACATGCTAGCCACCCATGTGGTTGAGTCCTCAGTGGCTGTTCAGCTCAGCTGGGCAGGATCAGTGCTGATTTGGGTGACAGCGCTGCGGTGATGTACTGGGAGATGCAGGTTCTTACTGGTTCTGGCAAACTACTCAGCTACCCATCTTTTCCTATGCTGGTCCCATAGACCAGTGGTTCTTAACCTTTGTTACTCGGATGGTTTTGAACTGCAACTCCCAGAAACCCCAGTCAGGATAGCTGGTGGTGAAGGCTTCTGGGAGTTGCAGTCCAAAACTCCTGAGTAACCCAAGGTTAAGAACCAGTGCCATAGACCACAGAGAGAGGAAGCCCAAATAAGTTGTCTTGGCCACCCAGTCTTGAGATTGACCTTGACCTGTCCATGTCTAACACAGAGATAGGGTGAACCTATGGAATCTTATAGGACTACAACTCCCATTGGCCCTCACCCCTGGCTGTGGCAGCAGGGGCTGGTGGGAACTATAGTCCAGCCATAGCACAAGAGCCAAACACTCATTCGTCAGTTCCTTCTCCTTCTCTCCGGCCTTTCTCCGCGCGGCTTGCAAAATCTTGAAGAGACACCTGCAGCTAAGAAATGCAACAAATTTCAATATACAAAAAGCAATTAAATGTCTTACACTTAAAAAAAAAATGCCCCATGCCTTCTTGGTAACATCTTGGTTCGATCCTAAGGGTGACGAGGTCCCTGATTTGATCCTGTTTTAGACTTACACCCCAAAAGGAAATGTGCCTTAACGCACCGAATGAAGGAGCCTGGTGGTTCTCAAATTGTACCTCCGATAACTCTGCCTTGCTGCTGGAGGACTGGATACAGCAAATACGAAGAGTGTCAGGTTGATGGTGCATAAATAAAACTTTTCGTTTCTTGACCCTTCAAATGGATCAATGCTTGCTGCTCTTGCTGACCAGTAGTCTGGATGGAACTCAACCTTCTGCCACCATCCATGGTGGGCCCTTATGGACGCCATCTTGTCTAGGTTTGGTTTCTTTGTTTCCTCTCCTGTTCCTATCCTGGATGATTCTGTCTTTCCTTGCCCGAATCAACCTGGTCTTGCCAAACTTTCTCCCTATAAGGGGGTGCAACTGTTATTTTATATTGTATTGAATAGTAACTTAGTTACGTCAGGGTGGGATGGGGTGGTGGGGGAGCAAGACAACCGTGTGATAGGGTTGCAGATTCTGTGTTAGAATCCACAAAATGCTGCCACCAGTCTGTGTGTGTCTGTGTGTGTGTGTGTGTTTTTTCCCCCTCAAAATTAAAATGGTTGTCTTGTGTGATTGCTTGGAGTACAGGATTCAGGAGCGTATGGACATCTTTAAAGGACCCTGCCGTTATCCGTCCCAACCCATTCTGTACAAATTCAGGAGAGTGGTTTCCAGATGTTCTCGGACTACAACTCCCAGAAATCCTGGCCAGCCAAGCTAGCAGTGAAGGCTTCTGGGAGTTGCAGTTCAAGAATGTCTGGAGACCCAAGGTTGGGAAACATAGGGCTAGGAGGCTGTGTTGAAGGTAACGGGCTGACCCCGGTTGGGTGCCAAAGTGGGACGATAAACGAAGAAGACAGGGGAGGCTTAGTCTCTCTAAGATGAGACGTGAGCCTAAAGAGGGGAAAATTCATTTGCTTTCCTAAATCTCGAATGACATCCTGCACAGAGCATTGCCATGCTGGTGAAAATGGGACATAGATATGGAACCGTCTTGTTCTGGTGAACCTTGGGACTTAAGTATCTCTTTCCATCAAGTGTCCTGTTGTGGAGTGTTGGGAGACAAGTCCCTGGTAGGTTTCAGACCACCCACCCTAAACCAGCCTCCCCAAACGTGGTTCTCTTTTTCCTATTGACGGTGAGGCCACAGCTAGCATGGCCGGGACGGTCAAGCTCAGTGAGAGGTGTAGACCAACACCACCTCAGTTTAGGGAAGGCTGCCCTAAAAGCTGAAAGGAGGCGGATGGTGTTATAGAGATGCTCTTTCGAGGAGCATCCCGTGTTGAACTTTT